CGGGGCCAGGGGCAGCGCGCGCCGCGGGAGGGGCGGCGGCACCTGCGGGGCGGCCGCGGGGCGGCCACCGGCGAGCGGCGGCCGAGGGCGCGGAGCGGCGAGCGGATACTCCGCGCAGCCCGCCCGGCGTGCCCGCGGGCATGGAGCAGGACAAGTACCTGCCCCAGCTGATGGCCGAGAAGGACAGCCTGGATCCCTGCTTTGTTCATGCCATGCGTCTCCTGGAAGACGGTGAGGCTCCGCGCCGCTCTCTCCCAGCCGGGACGCTCCTCTGGCTCCGGGCGCCGCGGGGCGAACTGGGGTCTGTGGGCGGGCGGCGGCGGCGCATCCCGAGCCGCCCGCGGGGGGACCCGGCTGCGCGTGGGCGAGGGATGGCAGAGGACGGGGAGCTCGGAGCCGCCCCGGACCCCGCGCCCAGGGACCGTCCGGCGGAGCCCCGGCGGCAGCGGCCCCGTGTGACCGCTCCCCTCTCGCCCCGCCGCCGGGGCTCGCTCGCCGTGCGGCGGGTTTGCCGCGGCCGGTTCGCCTGTGCGGGAAGCGCTCCCCTGGCGCCCGTCTTCACTTGCACAAAGACAGATGCTGGCGTCTCATTAAACTCGTTATGTCCTGTTCTCCGTGCTGAAGTACTAAGGTTTATATCGTAATACTGTTATGCTGTTTATGCGTCGCTGTTTTAGTTGACTGCGCGATGTCAGGCATTGATTGGATGTGGCTTATCAATTTCATGATACTGTTTCATCCAGGGCGTGATGATTTTTCTCTGGGTTCCGTAAGGTGATCAGAATATGCTGGTCGTAATATTTTGTAATTCAGTGTAATTCGCTCAGCTTTCCTTGCTTTAGTTGGACTAATTCAGCTGGAGGTTTTTCAAAAAGTTTATAATTTAGTCTTTTAATAACTGCTCAGTACAGTGATTGAGTGCAGGCCTTGTGGTACAGAATTTCAACTTTTGCAGAAGTGTAATTCAGTAAGTTCCCTTTATGCACGTTTTTCTTCTGAGCTTCATAATAGTTATTTTTAAAATCCCTGTTAAACTTGGAAGCGAATGTTGAAAAGAAGTAGTAAAGAATGATGCATAAAGCAACCTGTCAAGCTCTTAAATGGGACTAAGGCAAAGAAATGTGTGGTCGGGCCCTTAAAAGAGTCACACATTCAAACAAACTCACATTCAGAGGCAGTACATAATTTCCCAAATTCTGTTATGATTTAAGGAAAATCATAACTAATTCAAACTTACTGTGCTAGCAGTGTCTTTCTCTGTCAGCAGTTTTTATATTGTCTTTCCTTAATGTATGTTCTGTTGATTCTGAATGAAGATACTGAGTCCAGGTTTTGTTAGAGTGCCCCTGTTTGATAGCTTGGAAATTCAGTGTGAATACCAATACATTTAGTACCCTTTCGTCATAGCTGCCTTGCTGCTGAAGAGGCAGCCATGCTGCTTTTTACAGTTGTTTTTCTAATAATCATATGGTAAACAAAGTCCTTATTTCTTAGAGGAATGTATTTTTTGCACCTTGCAGTTCGATCTTTTCCCAGAGGGGGGAAGTATCCGCTGAGAGTGTGCAAGTGTGCCTGGGAAAGGAGGAAAATGCAGGAAGGACAAAACCGAAAGCGTGCCAAGTAAAGTACAAAAAGGAGAATAAAATAGGTGTTTCTGGGTGTCAAGTTCATGCGGAAATTGTGTTTTGGGCAAATGTGTGATTCAATAAATTATTTTCTCATTCCTTCTTATCATAACTAGGACTACGTATATTTCATTGGATTTTTTTTAAAAGATGAAGGTGAGTTGTCTGAGAGAATGCTAATGTCAGATTCACGCCAGGTACCTGGCATTATCCTTCAAAACACCATCTGTCAAGCTTTCTAGAGATTTATTTTAGAGTCTAACATACGATGACTGTTTAAACACTCAGCAAGGTAAGAGTGTAACTACTTAAGGAAACAAGACAATGCACTGGTTGCTGCTGGGTGTAAATAGAAGAGAAATGTATAGAATAGGCAGAATTTTTATTTGGGTACCAGAAGAACGTGGGATTGTGGTGCAAGGATGTCTGTAGTAGTGGGTTTCTAGGTTATATCCACGACGAAGCAGTGTTTCCAGACTCTGGATTTCTGTTGTTTAGAACGTGATGTGTGCGATCAGCTACATCCACAATGATAGCAGCCAGGTGTTATTTTTATGGTGTCCTAAGCTTTTTTGATTGCCACTACATTTTGTATAAAATGCGTAAATGTAGATATGAAGATTTTTTGCTTCAGAGTCCAGAGCCTTAAACATTTACTCTGAAAGTGCTGTGTTGTTTCATGTCGGTTGCTAGAACCTGAGGTTGAGGAGAGACATGCTGCTGTGTGAAACCGCAGAAGGGCACACAAATGATAAGCATTCCAGAAAAATGGTTTTGATTTGCCACAGTGGATTTACTTGTAAAGGTAAAAAAACCCCTCCCTGCCATTTTTCCCCAATAATTTTTTTGTTTGTTTGATTTCGTTCTATGGGCTTTTTTGTTTGTGTTTACTTAACCTATATTAAACCCCACAAATTACTTATGATTTTAATATGTAGGTGTGTGTCCTGCAGGTTGATGTATGTCAGAGGAATACTTGAATCAGTAGCTATTTACCCCCCACCACTGAGGGATGAATAGAAATCATCCTTAAGGACTGATTTACTTTAGTCCTTACCTGAGTGTGTTAAAACCCACCAAAAAGGGACATTTACTGTGGTAGAGAATTTGCATACTTAGCAAACAACACAAAGAAAGGTGAGGAAAAAGGTACTACTGCTGCTTAAATACAAAAAATGAAGGCATAAAACAATTTCTCAAAAAATCACTGAGGGAATCTGTGGTGGATTCTGACTGTGAACCCTGTCTCCAAATGACTAATAGAGTGCCTTAATCAGAAGATACTTTATTTCCCCCTGGGTCATTATCTGTTTCATATAGAAGTAGATCCTACATGATTATTGCACTATTAGAAAAGTCGGTTATAAGTCATCTATTAGAAGAACTTGTGAATTGTGAGTGGTTGGTGGTATTTGCCTCAGTCTGTATAAGTTTTTTCAAACTTTAGCAAAATGAACATACTTATTCTGATAATATAGTCCAGTCAGTAAGGACAACAAAAGACCTCTTTAGCTGAACTCTAAATAATAGACAAGTCTCCATTTGTTGGAAAGGGCTTTTTTCTATCAAGTGAACTATTTTGGGAACCAAATGGTTATAAGACGTGGAAGAGTCCCAGTGTCTCATGGAAAGTTTTAAATTATTTTATTGTAAATTGATTACCAGTAGATATTTTCTTAGGTAAGATTGTACTGTTTCTAGTCAGGAGTTATCCTGATGCTTGGTCAGATAGAAAATGTCAAAAGTGAAGAGCGTGTTCTTGAGCAGTGTATTTTGTACCCAACTTGTGCTCATACCGCAGCACGCTCTAGAGCTCCAGGGAGAACTGAAGGCGCCTCTGTTCTGGTGCTGCTTCCTGCTTCTGTCTGTTACTTTTGCACGTATGTAAATATTTATTGTTTTGTGTAAGATGTCTGTGATTATGGATATAAAAATAAGTATGTGACTGTAGCTGTGAAGGTGTGGATGACACAGAAAGCTACAACAAACTGGAACTGTTCGGTAGTTCAAAATTTGGTTTATGTCAGCATTATATTTAATAAGCTGAAGTGCCAGGTAATTGTCTATATACTTTTGTGTACAAGCAAATTATATACATATGTGTTTATTTATATTTGTGTGGCTTTGGAATATCTTGTATTATTAAAGCCAGCTAAGTGTTTTGTAATATTAATGTAGAGGAAAAAGACCTATTGGAAAGAGCTGACCAAAGTAAGAGCATCTCTCCCCATGGAAATATCAGTATTACTTGGGTAATGAGGTAGCTAATTTCTCTCTATAATGATAGTACAATTGACCTCAGAATTTCAGCTGGCATTCTGAAGGCATTGAGAATTGGGCCTTTAATTTTAATCTTGAGTTAAGTCTCTAGATTATTCCACATGGCATAGAATGAGTTTGTTAAACCTCCAAGTTGTGTAAATTAGACTCATATAGCTCAGCATCATAAAGCTCCTTGTAGGATGGGATATAATTATTCAAAAGATTAGCCTTTGCACTCAGTGAGCATTAGTACAGTCTTTCATGCAAACCTGCAATAGTTGTTCCAGCTAGTATAAAACTGTTGATGCAAATTAATTTTGTCTTATATTCAGGATTTCAAGTAATATTTTGGCTTTGTGTGGGTTTTGGATTTCTTTGGACTATTGGAGATTCATTTGCTTTTCATATAGGAAGGCAGATTTAGTTCATGAGTGTGTGTTTCTGTTAAAAACTTGGGATAATAATAAGGTTGCTGTATGAAAATTATTTGTCTTGGAAATACAGTATATGGTAATCATATCCTTAACCCTAAATGTGAAAGGCTGTTGTTCAAGCCTATAACCTGCTAAAATCAGGCCTCTGATACTTTTTAATTTTTATCAAATTTTTCATTGAAAACTACTTGTGAAAATATGCTTGCAAATTTATTAATTTACTTGTCTAAACAAGCCTTTGGATTAAAATAAGATTAATGTGAAATGTTTATATAAGTACATACATTAATATTAATCTATGAACGGTCACTTTTCTGCTTATTGTTTCTTTTTTCCCTGATGTTTACATCAGGTGAGACGAAATCTGTGTTCATAAAATAGTTGGTATTAATCATAGTTTGCTTTGCTGTCTCAAGAAATGCAGTGTAAATAACTGGTAGATTGACTCAGAAAACACTCTAATATTCAGAGTGTGTAATTTGGATATCTTGATTTCATTAGAAACTAGATTTATATATTGATCAGTTGGAGCCTTTTCAATAAAAAGTGCAAACTCTAGATGAACACAAGGTACTTATGATTTCTATAAAGTAGTGATGTGCTAGCAGTTCCAGACTTGGGTTCAAAGCTCAGTACAGTTAATGGGAATCTTTCTGTTGCCATTAGTGGGATATCAGGCAGTCATTGTAATACAAATATGATATATTGACTGATATAGCCAATTGACTTATAATCATGAAAACTGATAGAATATATTGCAGGTGTTAGAACTGACTGCATTTTGCTTTTTATATTTTTTTTAAAGATGATTTTTTTTGTCATGATGTAACAACATATGCGTTCATAGCTTGAGGAAGTGCTTTTGTCTTGCAGAATGTAATGCAGATAAATCCCAAGTGATAACTGGATT